TGTGACGGTCACTAGAAATTGCAAGATGGGATGGGCCAAATATGAAAGTTTTCTGCACTTGATGAACATTGTTTGCCTCAGAAACAGGGGTGACAGATTGTGCTGAATTTTGAGGAAGGACAACAACTTTTCAGTCAGTTCCTTCTACAAACACGTGGTCAGACTTGGAGAAGCAAGGGGTGTGTTCTTCCCTTTCAAAACCATCTGGAAGGTGCATGCCGCCCCAAGAATATCTTTCTTTGCTTGGGAAACATCTAAGGAGCGAATTCTGATGCTTGACAACTTAATGAGAAGAGGGAAAATTATGGCCATCAAATGCTTTTTTTGTAAATGCAATGTTGAGTCCTGCAATCATTTACTGCTGTGGTGCCCCTTCACCTACAGCCTTTGGACTCTCGTTTTCAGCCTCATGTGTATAAATTGGTATTTCATGTCACTAAGCACAATCACCAAATCTTCCCACGCCTAGCCATCTCTTCCTATGGAGATGCAGACTCTATGCCTACGGTTATCCCATCATATCTCGACAAGGACAAAAAACGACCCCCTCCATTTTTGTTTACTTCAGACTACAAGTATCTAATAGTCACCCTACATACAATTGCTGATATACAATTGTTAATGATCCCCTCATCCAGAATAGTTGATATACAATCGCTAAACCATTCTAATTCTGGCCAGTCAAGGGTGATATCATAAACATGATTCCTCACCTTCTCTTCAATCCATATTCCTCCATGGGCTCTGTTCCACTTGCTCGCCAAGAACAGCTTTGCTTCTAATAATCCACTAATAATCATCATCCTAACATATTTTAATGAAAAATTCTAATGGAACCTCCTGTTATGTGTTTTTTTGGACACCACCCTAGCTTTGATGACAAGTTATGAAAATATTAGAACTTTAATATATGTTAGGAAAAAAATATATATGGATATTTATAAGGAGCCCCATTCAAGTAACCAAAAAGAAAAGGGAAAAAAAGTCTAAATAGGAAAGCTTACTATAAAAAATTTACCAGAAAATAACAATGTATGTAAGAAATATATAATATATTGTAATAACATTCATATACATACCAGCGAGAAATACACCAGATAGTAGAGTCTCAACCCATGAAACTGGAAGCTAGAAAGCCAAGAAAGCACTGATCATATGCCAATCCTTAGATCTGAAACTATTCTTTTTTTACCAGCTAGAATTTGCAAAGCCAACCAGCCTACAAGCTCACTGTTTTTGCTTTTGATGTACATGTAATTCCTATTTGATCTTTTAAGTATTACAAGAAAAAACTACTACCGAAAAATTTCAACGATTTTGACATAAATTCTACAGGATTAACGTAGCTACATGTTCAAGGTAGCATAATGAAACTTTCAAGAATTTAATTTTAAAAAAAAAAGAAAGATAAAGACTAGAAAAGTATCATTAGTCTCTATAACAGACTACCAACATGTCGATTGTGATAAGAGTAATTAAAATAACATTACCTTAGAGAACTTCTTGGAAAAGAAAAAAGCAATTACCTTGAAAAATCAGAAAAAACATGTGACTTTAGTATTTGTTTTATGTTCTTTAGCTTCTCCCTGAGCTCTGTGATTTTCGGAATATCCCGATATGCTTCGAAATGGCTACATAACTGGTTAACAGCCTGAAATATATCATTACCCACCATGAGTAAAAGAATTCAATTTCTGAAGAACAATAAATTTGCCCAAAGAATCTTGTAAGCACTTCCAGATAATGAGAGAGTTCCAATTTTTGGATTGAAAAAAAAGAATTTTTTTTATAAATGTGAAGGAAAAGAACTTAAAGTTGGCTCTAGTTTCTTTTGCCAGAATAAATTAGAACTGTGAAAAAATTGGGGAAAAAACCACTGTGTATAGGAAAAGAATAAACATAATTAAGAACGAAAGAGTACAACACAAGAGGATTAGGTAATTTCTTAAGAAAAGAGAGAAAAACAAAAAGAAAATAGAGAAAGAATGATCACTTAATCTCCACACGGAAATGAAAAAGAAATATTCTTAAAGCAACCATTGGCCTTAGCCCAAGCAGAGGCCATTAAAGCAAACTTCATCCCATATAATCATCATAAGTGACTGGTCTCAACAAATTCTAGAATCCCACTCCAACTAGATCATTCACAACAGGGCAATCATAGCTCTAACCCAAATAACATTAACCTCCCTCTTCTTTACTAGAATTGTGATTCCAGAAGATAGAAAAAACTCAATACTCTGAGGAACAACCCAAGAGAAACCAAAGACTTCAAAAACAAAATTCCAATTCGTTCAAGCCACATGACAATGCAAATATATGTGGTTATGAGTCTCAGCAGCTCCAAAACATATCACATGAACCCCTGATACAAGGCTCAATTCAATCTGTGAACCAAAAGCATGTCATTATTATTAAGCCTGTGCAAAATCGTAATCAAGAAAAAAAAATGTTTACCTTAAAAGACTTTGTCTTCCAAAGGAATTTAGAAACGAAGACGTTCTAAATGGCATTGTTGTGAATCAAAAATTGTAGATATGATTTACAGGAAAAATACTGGAAGAATCCGAAGACTAGATTCTACAATGACAGTTATTAGAAAAGACTACAGAGTCCAACAAGTTAAGAATATCAGTAAAGTACACAGTCTCCCTGTCATTAAGATTCTGAAAAAGAAATACTAACAATGGGTACCACAAGATCAGAAAGGAAAAAATCAAAGAGTGCTAGTTTCTGGAGACTCTACACAATCTATGGAAACAGGATGCAAGAGAGACATTATCAGTACAAGAGCCTCCCAGAAATAAGGAAGTGATAACCATCCCCTACCTTCATCTGAAGTAGATGTAGAAAAGAAGTATGCTCTTGCAAGCACAGAAACCATTGGCTTTGGAATCCCACCCATTTCAGTGAGGGCCAAACTTACTCTTATTGACTTAATGCCCTTTTGCTGCAAAAAACCCGGTTCTAGAGCAAATCTCATAACTATTTAGTTAAACGAGATAGATTTTCACAAAAAAAGTTCCCAATGCTAAGACCAGCATTCTCTTTACTTGTACAACACTTCTCCCAGCTAACTAAATCATGTCTCTTAGGCTCCCGCGAACCCAACAAAAGAAAAGATTTCATCACCTTCTCAATTCTATCAGCCACACCTCTAGAAATCTTGAAGAGTGATAAGAAATAAAAGGGAATACTAGACAGGCAAGATTGAATGAGAATGACCTTTCCCATAAGAGAATAAAGGGCAGCCTTCCAGGCCTCCACGAGTTTAGACTCTTGTAGGAGACAGGGATGCAACCCTAGCATTTCCCGAAAGGAACATCAAGATAAGCAGAAGACCAATCCAACACTTCAAAGTGCACACAGTTGGCTATATGTCTCACTAGATGGTTTTCAATGCTAATACTTGTTAGACCACTCATAGTGAGATTAACTATTAAACCTGAAATAATTTAAAAAGTGCAGCCTTCCAGCTCCCTACATATGGACTCTTGCACACAATAGGAATGAAACCCTAGGATTCCACTAAAGGAACACCAAGATAAGAAGGCCAGTCCAACACTTCATAAACCTCCATAATTGGCTATTTGTCTCACTAGATGGTTCTCAATGTTAAAACTTATCGGACCACTCTTAGTGAGATTAGTTTTTAAACCTGAAATAAACTAAAATGGTGCTAAATGGTAATCCCATTTTAAAATTTTCCGTAGATCATCAGGGAAGAAGAAAATTGTATCCCCAGTAAATTGAAGGTGGGAAGCCTCACTCTAGCATACCTCTCTCTGACCCTCAAGAAAGCATCCGACTCAAACATTGATAACAATCATAAACAGACTCTTAAGATAAAAGGTTTCCTTGCCTCAATCATGCAACACAGGGAACCAATCCCAAGCCCTACCTAGAATTGCAAACATAGCAGAGAAAAGACACCACATGAACCACCCTCTCCATTTGTATACAAATCCTTTCCTCTCCAAAAATTGTTCTAGGAAAATCTCAATTTACACGATCATAAGCCTTCTACGAAAACAACTTAAGAACTAACCAAGTAGATTTATACCTCCTAACATCTTCCACCACTTCATTGGCGATAAGGAATGCGCTAAAGTTTGTCTATCCAAATAAAAGCACTCTGATAAATAGATATAGCTCCCTCCAAAACCTTGTTCATTCTTTAAGAGAGAACTTTGGAAATAATCTTGTACGTCCTGACGATTAGACTTACAAGGCAGAAATCAGAGACCTTGATAGACTAATCATTCTTAGGCATCAAAGTAATAAAAGTAGGACTCGTACTAATGCCAATCTTTCTACTGAGATAAAATTCATCAAAAACCTTTAACATGTTATCTTTGATAATGTCCCCACACCGTTGAAAAAAATAATTAGTTAAACCATCTAGACGAAGCACTGTATTAGCACTGAGATACACAGCCTGCTTAATTTCAAATTCCTAGAAAGGTCTTTCAGACTACTTAGCTCTATCCACACCAATCAGCAACCAATCAAGCCCCTTAATGAAAGAACAATGAATGTAATCTCCTACATAAAGTTTCTTATAAACTCAGTAATCATCGTCCCTATCATCCCTTGATCCGTTCAATTATGCCATCATCCAATCCTAACTCCTTGATATAGCTGTTCCTTCTCTTATCATTAACAATTTGATAAAAGAATCTAGAATTAGCATCGCCGTCTCTAATTTATTTCACCTTATTCTTTCTCCACTAAAATCCTCTTTTTTTTTTTTAAATACCAACTGAAGTCCTCTTTAATAAACACTTCTTCAGAATCATCTTAAATGAAGATAACCAAGTTATTTGATCCTTAGTGATATTATTATCTATGAAAACTCTATCAAGAGCAGATATCTCTTGAAGAATAAAATTCTTCCTAATTCTTGGGTCACCAAAAACATCCTTATTCTAAACCTTCAATTTTCCCTTAAGAAATTGCAACTTCCTCATGAATCTAAGATCCTCCCACCTTTCTGTATTACACTCCCTCCACCAATGCCTAATACTTTCCACAAAACTATAGTGGGTCAAGCACATGTTTTGGAAATAGAATGGAGTGGGACCAAAACCTACCTGGTCAAACTAAAAACAAAAATAGGGAAATGATTCGAAACAACACGAGGAAGGACCTCCTAGACTAAATCCTGGAATGTATCTCCCAGCAAGTGGAGACAAAAAAGCAATCAGTATGAGACGAAACCACTCTGTCGTATTAACCAGCTAGGTAAACTATGCATTGAAAAGGGTTCCCTAGGCTCACAATTCTGGGTGAAATCATTAAAGCCCCCATAATAACTATCAATTTGTTACCTTCCCACTTCTTAGACAGATATCTACATATATGAAAGTTCCCACCAAGTCAGCAGAAAGGACTACATAGACCACTTACATAAGAGAATTCCTCTCCAACATAGTGAAAAACACTATTAGGGCCACAAACACAAGTAAGTTGCCATAATCCTTCACCCCTAATATTCAAAAGAACCAACAGGGAGAAGGAACCTTCAACGTAATCAATGTAAGAAGCCACTCTATTATACGACATTAGGCAAACACCTCCAGAGGGCCCCTGTCAAGAAGCTAGAGATGGGGCATAAGGGTGAGATACCCACTAGCCCTACCATCCGTGAAGCGCAAAAACTGGTAATTAACGAGTTAATGAGGACAAATAAAATATGTAATTAAAAAGTTACTAGACCGTGGGTTTCAAAATATGAAACAGGTAAAGGGAGGAAGGATTAAATGATATACCTATAACGTCCGGCCCTACCCCAACCTACCATATATATATATGATTAATAAACTTTTAATTTTATTCGTAATTCTACTTAAATTAGCTCTCTTTAAAAGCAAGCTTATCATTATCATTTCATAAAATAATTTTATTCTCTTCTAATTAAACTAAATATAAATTTTAAATAAATTTTGTAAAATTAATTATTTACTCCAATAAAATATAATGCCTAAACATTTTTTATATATTTTTTTTAAATAATAACCAATTTTGATATATAAATCAATGTTTTTAACCAAATAAATATTTGGTCCAAATATTTTTACTTACAAATCCAAATACTTACATATTATGATGTATATGATTAATTTATCCCAAAAAAAAATTGTTTTGAAAGAAAAAGTTAAAAATGCATTAGTATTGTACCAAAGGGGGTATCGCCCGTATACACAAGAGTTTACAAGGTTGTGAGGGTATCAATGACATTCCCAAAACTTTCATCTCTAATGATGTCATATTCTAAAATAAAACACCCAAAATATTTGAACCACCTATCTCTTAGCTTATTTCTATCAACCTCTAAACCCTCAAAAGCTCTCAAATTCCTTTCTTTCCAAATAAACCAAAAAATATATTATCTCAAAAAAGTGATCTATATGATTAATTGAGCAAGTTAATAAAAGACACAAAATATTTGAACCACCTATCTCTTAGCTTATATCTATCAACCTCTAAACCCTCAAAAGCTCTCAAATTCCTTTCTTTCCAAACAACCCAAAAAATATATTATCTCAAAAAAGTGATCTACATGATTAATTGAGCAAGTTAATAAATGTATAAATATTTTGTATCTTTTATGCTTAATATTCAAAAATATGTTGTAATTGAAATGCTTTAGTTTTCTAATTAGTTAAAATGTTAGTCGCACTTTTGTAATGCTATTTTATATTTATTATTGAGTAGATTATGTTTCAATATTATTTAAAATTATATTTTATTTTAATTAATACTTTAGATTGTTTAATTAAGTTTTAATTTTTTCTTCAATATTTTTATAAGAGTTTTTAGGATAAAAAATGGGCAAATAGCGTAGGTTTTCAGGGTTGGGTGGGTAGGTGAACAAACAAGTGCCTATGGATAATTAGAGCTGGTGGTAAGTAGAAAATTTTACCCAGTTTGTTGGTGGTGAATAAAGAAACATGTGGATATACACACCCGTATGGGACTTTCCTAAGTAGGCAGGTAGCAGAGTGGATATACACACCCGTACCTGCCTCTTATCATCTCTACAAGGGGCTAAAAGACCAATCCTTAAAACTAGTATCCCAAACACTTTGCAGTAATAGAGGTTCAATAACAAAAAATTTGGCCCTATTAAAATAACAAAATATCACATTGCCTTTACCCCTCCGAACCTTAGGATCCTCCGTATCGAGAAACAGAAGCCAGTCTCTTAATCTTAGTGTTGGTCTTGCCCCTTCTTTCTGACATAAGCCATCAGAGAAACCCACACCATCACTTCCTTCCAACATGAGTCCACCAATCAGAAGTCCAGTTTCTTGAAGGATATTACTGGGATCTAAACATCTGTCTCAATTGACTAGATAAAAAGGTTTGGATCTTGATGTATCTCATTTGCCTTGTGTATCCTCCACCTAAGAATGGTAGAATTCCTTTGTCCATATTTATATTTCAAACCCCACTACAAAAGTTGCCATGTTAAGACTAGATTCATTCATAATATTATCTGGCAAGTAGAGTAAGGATTAAACAAAATATGGTCAAAAGGAAGTACTCCCTTATAAAGTCACAGTTCTTGCAGTAGCATCATTCCAATGGTACACCCAACAATACATTGCAGTTTTCTCATAATCTCAACTTAATCATTGCCCAGAAGGACTTTGCTCTTCAAAGAGCCCAAACTCACAAAGTTACTATCTTCCTCTGTTTGCGCCATGTTCATATTCTAATTCTATAAATCCATTTCTCATTCTTCCTATTATCCTCCCAACAAGTTGTCTTCATGTATGAGATCTGCCATATCAAACGAAGACATGGATAAGATAAGATAATCTTCAAAATCAAAATCGCCAATTACCACAACCCCCTTATGGTCTTAAACCAAATTTAAGATAAGAAAACTGCAAACCCTTGCTACCCTTCACCAAAAAGACTTATTATGTCTTCTAATTGCCTCTTCTTCTTCTTCTTCTTCTTCTTCTTCTTCTTCCACAACAAAAGCATCGTCCCTTTTGAGCTCCACTTCCTTATCAGCTCCTTGTTTATCCCCTAGAACCAAGCTCTCAACCTCTTAAGAGACTGACACACCTAACGACTTGTTAAAGTCATCTTTAATTCCCTGCTTGGCCATTGAACCTTCCTTCCTATCGACACACCCTATGTTGTCAAGAGGTAGTGATGAGCCTTATTTATCTTCCAACTAGGTGCTGTCTGGATCAAAGACAATTGAGCCAAACCTTATTTTTAAGCTTACTTTCAACCTCTTTGAGAACTGAAAAGACCTTCCCATAATTTACTCCACTACCTCCCAGATCATAAGCATCCCTCGCTACTTTCTCTCCAGTCATCATGGAATCAATTTAGCAAGATCTGTTCTGGAGTGATGTTTGGATTGGGAATGAAAGCTTGAAAAGCAAATATCCCAGAATTTTTGCCATTGCACAGACGAAAAATCTGTTTGTCCAGGATGCTTACAGAATCAATAATGGTTGTGTGGATTGGTGGATTAATGTCTCAAGAAATTTGCAAGATTGGGAAGTCAAAAAGTATGAAAATTTGTTGCAATTGCTTGCTTCACCGGGTTGTTTGGAACCTGGAAAAAGTGGTAAATTTTCAGTAAAGTCCTACTACAGTCAGTTAACCAGGACAGATCTTGTTCAGCTACAAAATTTCCCTATGAGACAGATATGGAAAACTAAAGCACCACCAAGAATTGCGTTTTTTGCATGGGAAGCCTGCAGGGAATGTATACTGACTACTGATAAATTAAAAGCAACAGGTATGTTCATTCCCAACAGGTGCTATTTGTGTAAGAAAGCAGAAGAATCGAGCATTGCTGTAGTGTCCTGTGGCAGTTGAGCTTTGAAGTCTCATTTATTATCTTCTTGGTATCAATTGGATTGTGGCGGGGTCTCTTGGAGAGGAATTATGGACTTGGGATGGTAAGCAATTAGATAGTAAGTTAAACTAAATTGATTCTATTGACCATTTTTTGGGTTCTTTGAAAAGGGAGAAATTCTAAAGCTTTTGAGGGTAAAGATGTTGATTTGTACAGATTAAAAGATAAATGGATGCATTATTTTGGATTTATTTTGTTAGGCTATGACATCATTAATTTTTTTTTTTTTAGATAAAAGTAAGAAGATATATTAAAGAGACGCCAAGGGGACGAACCCGTGTACAAAAGAAATTTATAGGTCAGTAAGAATATCTACAATATAACCAAGATCATTAAAAGAGACAAGGTTATGACCAAGAACAATGGAACCAAAAAAGTGCAACCACTTGTCCTTAATAGAAGTAATGTTAGTGTCTCTGTTTTCAAAAGTTCAGTAGTTTCTTTCCTTCCAAATGATCCAGAGGATAGTAAGAGGAATAATTTTGTGTCATCTGTTGAAGAAATTGATGCCTTCCCAGGCAAGTAACTCCTCTTTTACAGAGCCAGCAATAACCCAAGAAAAACCAATCAGCTTGTAAATCATAGACCACAGATTATAGGAGACGGGGCACCAGAGGAGAAGATGGTTACAAGATTCAGCATTCTGCTTGCACATAACACACCAGTTAGCCAAGACAAAGCCCCTTTTCATGAGGTTATCAAGTGTAAAAATGTTATCTATTGCAGCTTTTCAAGCAAAGACAGAAATCTTGGGTGGGGCGAGAGAGTTCCAAATAATTTTATGAGGGAAGAAGGCTATGACATCATTAGTGATGAGAATTTTGGAAATGTCACTGACATAGTAAGTACTTTGTAAATCTTTTGTAATGAGTGGTACACCCTGTTTTTTTGGTACCTTGTTAATATATATATATTTACACTTTTTATTTCAAAAAAACAATCATGGCTTTTCCAAGTCTCTCTTCATGCATCTTGGCTCTCGTACATCTCTCAGCATACTCAGCCGAAACTCCTTCTAGAATCCTCATTCCAGTTCTAACCCTCCCTAAAGGACAAATAAACCATTCCTCTTCATCCCTCCAGCATATTCTAACAAGGACAGTTGTTGACATTAGCATTTTGATGAATCTTCGGCAAACAGTATCTACCACCCTCTCAGTTAACTGGTTGGTATTCTTTTTCTTGGTAAGATAGTATAGAGAGAAGAGTTTTCAGCTATTTCACCCCATTCTTCTCTAAATGATTTAAAATGACTTGGATTTTGAGTATTTGAAATGATTATATTCCCGGGCTCGCGTTTATAGATAAGATTGATGTTCTTATTCTCCATAGACAAATCAAAAGATTTCATTCAACTCACCTAAAATGATAAACAATACTAACTAATCCAGACAAACTATAACTGAGACTATAAGATGCTTTCTGGCAAAGAATAGTTGATGATGAGTCACAATCCTCATCATTTCACTTTACTACAATAAGAAATTTTCAAACTCAATTAGGGAGAAGTTTCAATCAATCAAAAAGCCTCATTTCTTCCATTTTCAAAAGAAGAATGACAACATTTTTGAAAACAAAGTAGGAAGGTCAAAGTCCTCCATCCACGACGAGAGTTTCAAGAGCCTGGTGAGGGAGAACAGGTCAAGTTCATCATCGAGATTGTCAATGGACAAACCATGGCCGTAGATGTCACTGGTCCTAATGACAGCATCGTCCAAGGAAGCAGTAGCTGCAGAGGCGGTAGCTATGGAAGAGGGCAATGAGGTGGCAGGTGTACCAGTGGATATTTGGGGGGTTGGTGGGGGGCGGGCGGGGGGGAAGAGAGAGAAGATGATGGTGGTGGTGGCCATAGAGGAGGTGGTGGACACAGTGGAAAGGGGGCAGAGGAAGAGATGGCTACGGAGGAGGGATCAACAGCCGCGGTGGTTGTTTCAAGTTTGGTGACACAGGGCATATGGTGATAGAGTGCTTTCAAGGTGGAGGAAGTTATGGCAGAGGTGGCGGTGGGAGATATGGAAGCGGAGGTGGAGGTGGAGGTGGAGGTGGTGGCGGGAACTGCTACAACTGTGGCGAGCACCAGAACCTATCCAGACAATGCTCGTTGATTTTGCGAAGGAACCCAATACCAGAAAAGGTAGATTTGCCTCTTCATATCTATTCTGATTTTCTCTTGGGGATACCTTATGTTGGTGTTTTGTTGATTTTATGGTACCTGGTAATCCATTAATTTAATTTTAGTATGGTTGGCTTTTCTCATTAGGGTTTTATAGGATCTCGGTTCACAAAGGATGACCTGGCTGATGGCTTGATTGTCTTGTTAATTTCTTAGTTTTTTGCTTTTAAAGGTCGGGCCAGCTTGAAATGGAGGTTTAGGAGCAGTAGAGAGGGATGATGGTGATGATATAATTTCTCAACAAATCACTTACACTCTCATTGTTGATTTAAAGTGTTGATAGACATATATAAGAATAAAAACTGGTTTGGTTTCTCCCAAAAGACATTTTTTAAGACAGAAAAAAGATCCCGACATTTGATACTTAGAAGCTGTCAATTATACTAACAACAGAGTACATGATTACGTGATCTCAATCGAAATTTATGTTCCACAAAAACATTGAAGGAAACTTAACATAACTCTGAGAAGAAAAAAAATGAATAGTTTACTAATAAACAACATACCTCCAGCTGTGCAGCTGCCTCCTTATAATGTCGTTTTGAAGCCATTACCTGCAGTTGCTCCACAGCAGAGACTGCCATGGCAAGAAAGAGAGTGTTGCTGTAAGAATTTATCTACAAAAATATTCATCATTTTGCACTCAAATGCTGCATCTTCAAAAAAAAAAGAAGAGAGAGAGAGAGAGAGAAACTTGAGATATTATTAAAGAGGAAGAAAGATGTTATAGATGAAAGTGAGAGGCTAACATATCCTCCAAGCAAAAAAAAACATCTTTGTAGTAAATGTACAAGTATAAATTTTCTTGGACGTCAAAATCCTAGGCAAATGGCATCCAACTGATTTAACCCCAATCATTTTGTTGTATGTTTGTGGAAAATAATTTTACTGCTCATGTCCTGATCATACTCCAAAGAGGTGAAACATTCATTAACTTGAAGAAGATAAGAAAAGAAGATTATACAGAATGGAAAAGAGGGGCATAGCATTTCTTGTAAACATTATTCATCGAGAAGACAAACCAGGTATTCCTACTCTATGTACAACCGTCTGATGAAAAATAATACATTATAAATATTGCAAGACGTGCTGCAAACTACACAATATTTATCATAGCATGCTGCAAGGGGAAAAGTTTTTTTTTCTTTTTTGCAAGAGTTTTCATACAAGTAGGTGAAAAACACCTGGTACACTTCCAGAGAAAAAAAAAATGATGTAATGTGGTCTGGAAAATGAGCTGAGTGCGACCAAGTTATTTAAACAAGATTTTCAAAACCTAATTCATACTTTTCTTGTTTTGATTGAGAAATCTCATGAGAAGATAAGCACATCAAATAGTTTTCACGAATTCCATCCTACTCCAAGCTATTGCAGGCAGGTGAACAGAAAAGCCGTCTTGCTAGCTTCACCCTCTCATATATCTTAAAAAGAAAATATTTGGGTTTTCGGTTTTTTATTACAGATACGATTGTGATCTACTAGGCAAGGAACGTGTTAAAACTCAAGTAGCATGAATTTCAGGACAATAAATATACTATTGATAAACATAATTTACTAGAGTTTAGAGAGAGAAAAACTAAAGAAAATGAAATATAAATACAATACACAATCACAGAGATTGGCAGCAACTATAACCATAGGGTTGTCACAACCACAATCACAGAGTAATTAGGCACTAATTTCAATGAGAGAAAATTAATAAATTTTAACATAAGCATTCTCTTTAATAATGACGAAGCAGCAATGTGCTTGTAGGGGGTTTATATAGCCTAATATGACTATAGTTAAATACAAAACAAATAACACAACAAGACTTCTAACTAAATAAGAACTAAAAATACTAAACTAGCATACATCTAGACCATCCGAGTAGTTTCTAGATAAGCTTAATATCCCTAGTAATAAGTAAATGCGTACTTGTAGAAATATGCCATAATATTAAAACATATCATCCTAGGTTCTTCTTCTTCTGTATCAACTATACTTTTAAAAGGAGGGTTCAGATTTACCAGGTGGCTTAACAGTTGGACTAAACTGCATATATATCAAAATTATGGCAGAGAAACAAATGGACTAAGGTTCGGCAAAAGAAAACACAAAGAACAAAGAAGAATGTGACTGTTTCTGTAGCTGCTAGCACTGAGTATAATTAAAATTCATAATGCAAGGTCAAATCATGGCATAAATCATTATGAAAGGAGAAGATAAAGAAGATAAATCACAACTTTAAAACATTATCTCTGACAAGCTTAACTAGAGGCTGATACTAATGCATACTTCGTTTTATGGCCACTAAAAGGAAAATAAAAACAAACCTAGCATAGTTAGGCGATGAAGAGCAGTAATTGTAGTTGTTATATGCTTCTTTGCAAAATCCAACTTCTTAATGTCACGGCATATTTCTTGAACCATTGCTTCGCTTTGTTCAGCTTTGGTTTTTATTTCTTGGATTTTATAAGATAATTCCTGCTTTGCAGAGTCAAATAAAAAATAAAAGAACAACGAGGAAGTGCAGAAAAGACTAATTAGAAAAAAAAAAAAGGAAAAAGGCTTCCAGTTATAAATAAAAAAGTACATAAATAACAATTTGAGAATGCAACAGACTGAGACCTCCACAGCCCGTGTTGCAGCAGCAAGATCTTCCTTGGCTTTCGTTCCTGAATTACTCTGAGGTCAAAATAGCTTATCCGTCAAAAATCTAAAAACTAACCACGTGCAATTACATCTTTACAAGAATATAAGAATTTGCAATACTCACTGCAACTGGTGCAAATATGACTTTTGTTGTTTTACCACACTTCAAAAGAAAGCTAAGAAACTTGGCATCAAACAGGAAATAATAAACCAGAAAGAAAACAAGTAGAACGAAGAAAAAAAGACAACTAACACATGGAAGAGAGCTAAGAAGGCAAAAACAGGGCAGTAGAGAATAAAATACTCCAGCAGTGCAATTGATTCATATCTTTTCCTAGCCCCATAGGCCATTTGAAAGGCTTGAATCGAAGTCACCACGGAACCCTTCAAAAGGGAAGTACCAATTGAGCAAAGCTTAGTTAATAATTCTGGAAAGAACTGTTATGCTACTAAGTCTCCCCGTTTATAGAGTCCTAAATGTAATACTAAATACCAATACAAAAAAAGTGAACCTAACCACAAAGGAAGTGACCCTAAAACAATTTAAAGACCTAAATGCAAGAGTTTCCTAATCTGTAACAGCTTCCTAAATGCGAGAGCTTGAGGACATGGAGAAACCCACAGGTAAAGATTTATTAGCCACTCAGGTATCTTTCCTTTCTCACATAGTTTAAATGTCTCATATAGACCCTTTAAACAATTATAGATGACAGACTCAAGGGCCACTGACCATATGACCAACTCTTCAAAATACTTTCACATATATTTTCCGTGTCCGAGTAGTAGAAAAATTGTTACTGATGATGGCTATTTAAATACCATTGCAGTAAAGGGTAATATCATGATTGATCCCAATTTGATTACTGAGAATGTGTTACATGTTCCTAAATTCTGCACTAATCTCTTTTATTCAAAAACAATTCACTAATTTTGTGTTAGTCACCAAATTATCAAAGGACTTGAATTGCAAAATAATTTTTCTTCCCTCTCATTATGACTTGCGGGACCAATACTCAAGGAAAAAGATTGGATTATACTACTTGAAGGCACCTAAGTTATCTCTTTCCACCATCACTATGGACTCATCTGATATTCTTTGGCTCTATCACAAATGGCTGGGACATCCATCTTTTTCATCCGAAGGTTATGTTCCCTCTTTTACTTAAGGAATTTTTAACAGAAATTTACACTGGAATATATGTGAATTGACAAACATAAGCGTGTAAATTTTCCTAATAGTAATAAAATAATTATAATTCATTTTTCATCAATTTATAATGATATTTGGGGATCATCCCACATTCCGAATATTACTAAGGCTCGACGGTGTTGTGTTCTTTATTGATGATTGTACAAGAATTATATGGTTTATTCTACTAAAATCAAAATCTGATGTGAACGACATACTTCTCCAATTTCGCAATATACAAAAACCTAGTTTGGAATGCATATCAAAAACTTTTGTACAAACAATTCCAAACACATTTTCTATCACACACTTTCATCCTTCTTTCACTAAGAATGGATGCTTCATGAGTCCTTGTATGTCTACAACCCACAACAAAACAATGTGGCAGAATGGAAAATGGTCACTTCACTATCACTAGAGCCTTCCTATCCTAGAACAATATCCCAAAACAATACTAGAGAGATGCAGTTCTTACTACCACCTACATTATCAACCGATTATCCTCAAATGTTTTAGGTTCTAAAACCCCTATTATAACACTCTCAAAATTCTTGCCAAAAGTCAGTGTCACCAACCATCTAGTCCCTAAAATATTTGGATGTGTTGTCTTCGTCCATATTCATTCACATCAAATAGGAAAACTTAATATCATAGGTCTAAAGTGTGTCTTTGTAAGATATTCATCTTTTAAAAAGAGGTACAAATGCTATCATCCGCCTATATAAAATTTTTATGTTTTTACAAATGCTACATTTGCTGAGACAAATTCTTATTTTTCCCAACTTTATCTTCAAGGAGGAGCTTATATTGGAAGATAAGGATAGTGATCTCTCATTGGACCTCAAGCTTTCATCCTTACCACCTACTCAATCTCCACCTACATCACCACAGGAAACCCTTCACAACCCACCAAAAAATCAACCAACCTAAGAAATCATACATGACCCGAGATTTACACAGTTATACTCAAGAAGGAAGAATCTAGATCTTCAAGTGAAGCAGATTCAAGTATCAAAAACAAGTTCTAGAATTGAGTTAAGCCCCAATAATCCTACACAACCTGATATTGATATGCTCAGCGTAACAAGTAAAGGAACCAGGGAGTACACTAAACATCCTCTTTACCCAATATCTTAGTTTGTATCATTTCATAAATGTTTTAAATTCCATAAAAATTTTCTCATAAGCTTGAATACTGATTTTATCTCTCAACTTTTTAATTGAGGCATTACCTTGTAAAAAATGAAAAAAAAAAAAATATCAGAATATCAAAATGGAGGCAAATAAAAAGAACCAGAAGTTGGAAGAAACGGACTTGCCCAGAGTGAAGAAATCCGTGGGATTCAAGTGAATGCCCACCATAGAATACAGACTAATGTAACAATAAGAAGTAAAAGCAAGCTGGTGGTGAAAGATTATATCCAAACATATGGGGCTAGATTA